AAATACCTATTTAAGTGTATGTATGGTCTGTTCTTATCCCCTCTTCTGTATAAAAGGTGACATATATACTGCTATGCATCTTGTTCTTTTTTCTTAATGTATCTTGAGTATCACTCCATATCAGTATATAGATATCTGTCTAATTCACTTTTTGATCCATAGTACTCCATTTGGGAATGTACCATGGCCTTTTCAGCCAGTCCCCTATTTGTGGACATCTGGGGTTTGTTGTTTTTTTTTTCCAGACTTTTGCTATTACAAATAATGCCCTTGTGCCTAAATAATTTCATATGTGCCAGTAAATCTTTGAAAGTGATTCCTAGAAGTAGGATTGCTGGGTATAAGGATAAATGCATTTGGAATTTTTCCAGACATTACTAAATTCCTCTCCATTGATTATACCATTTTGCAATCCCACCAATGGTATATCAGAGTGTCTAGTTCTATATAGCCTCACCGTATACTTTGTTGTTGAACTTCGGGATTTATTGTCCATCTATCTGATAGGCAAATATCTCAGTGTTATTTTAAATACATCGCTCTAAAAATTATGAGGGGTAGTGTATATCTTTACATACATATTTAAAGTCCATTTAAGTGTTTTCTCTTGTAACTCTTTTTTTATGTTTTATACTATTAAAAAAGTTGTGTTTTGGATCTTCCCCTTCTTGCTCCATATTTAGGAGCTTACTCTGTCACCCAGGCTGGAGTACAGTGGCGCCATCTCAGCTCACTGCAACCTCTGCCTCCCAGGTTCACGTGATTCTCCTGCCTCAGCCTCCTGAGTAGCTGGGATTACAGGCGCCTGCCACCACACCAGGCTAATTTTCTGTATTTTTAGTAGAGACGGGGTTCCACTATGTTAGCCAGACTGGTCTCAAACTCCTGACCTTGTGATCCACCAGCCTTGACTTCCCAAAGTGCTGGGCTTACAGGTGTGAGCGACTGTACCTGGCCATATTTAGGAGCTTTTTAAATTTTAGAGGTGTTAGCACTTTTGTCTTGATTTAAGCTTTAATTTTTTTTCCAGTTTGCCATTTGTCTTTTGGATTTATTATGATGAGGGGTGTGTGTGTGACATTTAAAAATTTCATGTACATTGATTTCCCCTTTTTATTGTCTCTGGATTTTGAGTCTCAGCTAGGAAGGTTTTTTCCTATTTCCAGATTAAAAAAGAATTCACTCATATTTTCTTCTACTACTTATTCAATTTCATGGTTTATATTTAGAACTCTGCTCCTTGGTTTTATTCTAATATAGTGTGAAATATGGATCCAATTTTATCTTTTTCCAGACATCTCTTCAGTTGTTCCAATGCTTGTTCTCACTGATTTGATATTTATTTCTGGACTTTCTCTTCTGTTTCATTAATCTGTTTAGTCATATACCGGTACCACAATGTATATGACTATGTATAGGTGCCCAAAGGTGCTACTTTATTTTTTGATCAGAATTAAGTAAGAACAACAGTTAAAGATCACCCTCATCTAATTCACTGTGTAAAGATCACCGTCATCTAATTAATTGTGTCCCTCACCACTCACACCAAATAGAAGACTTGTGTGATATATGTTTGTTTCAATGCATGATGTAGGTGCTGTTTGGTCCTATATTCGTTAAAAAAGTGTTGAACCAGTAGTCAGGTGGCAAACTCAGCTTTTAGTACCAGTTCTAAGCAAGTGACTTGCTTTCTCTGGTCCTGTTTTCTTAGCAGTTAACAAACAAAAGGAGTTGAACCAAATGGTCTTCAGGGTTGTGTCTGACTGGTTAATGCTGTTCTGGTTAAGAGCACCACTAGTATATGGTGTGGAGTTTAATCTACCTTTTATTCTCCTGTGCCTTGTTCTTTTGCAGTATTCATGAAATAAACTTTCTCTTTTGGATCCTAGTTCTTTAATCTTTTTCTCTAAAATACATACTTTGTTCCAGCATTTTCTTTTGTCCTGTATTTATTAACATATGTCTTTTCCTGTTGATTAAGCAATGATTGCCACTGTTTGGCTGCTTAGCTTCCACTGACCTCAATGGGGAAAATTACATGCAGTTAAATGTGACTTCTTCCCCCAGTAAAGAATTTCTTATTTAAAAAAAAAAAAAAAAAAGGAAAAAAGACAACATAAAAACCTAGCTGCTGCCAGTAGTCCGTCCTGTTTTACAAAGAACAGAAAACTGCCTTTAAAGTACTTAAAGATATCACACAAGACTATGGTCAGCTAATCAGCTCCCATTTTATCTAAAAAAATTGGTATTTCCATATTTTTCCCTATATTTCTTTGAGGAAAGAAGGTGGTAAAAAGGGACAAAAATGTGGAAAGAGCCCATTAGGTAACTCATAAATGTAAAATGAGAAGAGTTATGATTTAAGGTATATCAGAGACTTGGCCAAGTATCAAAACATTGTATCTTATTTACCATAACAAAAATTCTTAAAATTCAAAAGAATGATAGGAAATTCTCAACTCCAGAATGCCGCTGGGGAAATTAGCTTTAAAAGTACTAAGTCTAGGCCAGGTGCGGTGGCTCAAACCTGTAATCCCAGCACTTTGGGAGCCCAAGGCAGGCAGATTGTGAGGTCAGGAGTTCCAGACCAGACTGGGCAATATGGTGAAACCTGTCTCTACTAAAAAAATACAAAAAGTAGCTGGGCATTTTGGCACACACCTGTAGTCCCAGCTACTCAGGAGGCTGAGGAATGAGAATTTCCTAAATCTGAGAGGCGGAGGTTGCAGTGAGCTGAGATTGCACCACTGCACTCCAGCCTAGGCGACAGACTGAGACTCCATCTCAAAAAATAAAGTACTAAGTTTGAAGAATACATGAAAGAAACTTTTTAATGTGGAAGACAGAAGATGTAATACTACAATAAGTGTCATGCTTATTCAGGAAAAGTTAGAAGCTCAAGGAAGTGTTTCTACAGATTAAAAAAATATTAAAGATCAGTAGAGATGGCTTGAAGGATTATAGGAAAAACATCGTATATAAAATTCCTGTGTCCAAAACCCTACTGGTTCTTATTAAATATGGAGCTTTCTTAATGTCACGAATACCAGTGCTATGAATAAATGCTATGTTCTCTTCTGAAAATCCCAGAACTATAAGTGATTCCCCAAAACTGGGCTACCAATGAGACTACCACTTCCCCCCCAACCCCCGCCCTGCCAAGATAGAGTCTTGCTTTCTCACCCAGGCTGGAGTGCAGTGGCCCCATCTCGGCTCACTGCAACCTCTGCCTCCCAGGTTCAAGCAGTTCTCCTGCCTCGGCCTCTCAAGTAGCTGGAATTACAGGCACCTGCCACCACACCAGGCTAATTTTTGTGTTTTTAGTAGAGATGGAGTTTCACCATGTTGGCCAAGCTGGTCTCGAACTCCTGACCTTGTGATCTGCCCGCCTCAGCCTCCCAAAATGCTGGAATTACAGGGATGAGCCACCGTGCCTGGCCATCACATTTTATTCTAAGTGCTTGTTTCTCCTGGAATTAGATGGGACTATTGAGGAAGAGTATGTGCTTGTTGGGCAAAGGAGCATTTCTGTAGACACAGGTTGGCATTGCCAAAAGCACAGGCTGATGACTACTTTGACTTTGACAAAGATTGGGCCCATTCCTACTCTAATAACTCAGACATGTCAGATAACGGATAAAGAAATTCTGCATAAGAAAGGTGATTTAAGAGTTTAAATGGATAGCGTCAGAAAGTGAAGCTTGGTAAAAAGTTGAGAATCATCTGTGTTTTTATAGTCTTTTTTCCTAAAAAAACAAAGAACAAAAAACCCTAGTCACCCATATTTAGAAGAAAGCTATAGTCTTCTATTTCTTTCTTTTTTCTTTATAAAACTTGATTTTGGGTGCTTATAAAGAAACTTTTTAAAGATGCTAGTTTTAAAATTGTCCTCCCTCAGCATGATAGGAAAATATTTACATTTTATGATACATCCTCCTATTTTTTTCAGGGTATATGTCCCTAACCCAAACCCTTAATTTGATGTTTTAGCATGTTTGTTTTACTGTTTCCATTGAAACCAAGAAAATTTCTCTATTCTCAATCATGCATTTTAATCTCTCATTCCCACAAACTTGGAATATTTATTTAATACTTGAGGTATTAATTTAAAACTTTGAGTGTGTACTTAGTCTCTTATTCCTCTCCACCCCAGTCTTTGAAATGGAAACATAAAAGTTTATTTATTCACAATAAGTTTATACACAGCTTTTCAGGAATAAAAAACTGTACTGGGTAATAGTAAGTATACGTAGATTGTTTCAGAGTGACTAAAAAATTATTGAAACACAGACCACTTACATGTGTAAAATGTAGTATACTTTAAAGGTAAGTACTATAATTAGTAAATAGATTACTGTTAAATAACTTTTTTTTTTTAAGTTTCAGCTGGGCATGATGGCTCATGCCTGTAATCCCAGCATTTTGGGAAGGACGAGGCAGGTGGATCATGAGGTCAGGAGTTGAAGACCAGCCTGGCCAAGATGGTGAAACTCCATCCCTACTAAAAATACAATAAATAATCCAGGCGTGGTGGCTCACGCCTGTAATCCCAGCACTTTGGGAGGCTGAGGTGGGTGGATCACAAGGGCAAGAGATCGAGACCATCCTGGCCAACATGGTGAAACCCCATCTCTACTAAAAATACAAAAATTAGCTTAATGTGGTGGTGTGTGCCTGTAGTCCCAGCTACTGAGGAAGCTGAGTCAGGAGAATTGCCTGAATCCGGGAGGTGGAGGTTGCAGTGAGCTGAGATTGTGCCTCTGCACTCCAGCTTGGCGCCTGGCGACAGAATGAGACTGTCTCAAAAAAACAAAACAAAACGAAACAAAACAAAAAAAATAGCCAGGTGTGGTGGTGGCTGCAACCTCAGCTACTCGGGAAGCTGAGGCAGAGAATTGCTTGAACTTGGGAGGTGGAGGCTGCAGTGAGCTGAGATCACACAACTGCACCCCAGCCTGGGCAACAGAATAAGACTCCTTAAAAAAAAAAAAAAAAAAAAAAATTATCTATGCACATGGGCTCTGAGCAGATTTCAGATAGTTCCTGAATAAAAATCAAAATCAACTACCAGTTGCCATTTTATATATTTTAACATATAAAGAAAATCAAAAGAGAGTCATTTAAGGATAGAAGATCAGCTAAAAAGCAAGTTGTCATATTTATAACAATTCTGCAGGTGGAGGTGGCAGGGATTCATTAAGATCTTGATCAGAGTTGGGAGGAATAGAGAACTCCTGACACTGGATCTCAAGGTTGGAATCTTCTTGGTTTTTCATAAAATCTACTGGTGGCAGGGGCAAGTTAAGTGAGTCAGTGGGGGATGGAAATGATTGTATTGTTTCAGATTTATGATCTCCACAGTCTTGATTGAGACAATCCAGAGATGGAAGAAGACTAGGAGAATCATTTGGAAGAGGAGATACAATTATCATTGCGGGTTTGACAGACTGGCTACCTTCCTGTCCTTCCAAATCCAGAAGGGGAGGTGGTGGAGGCAGATCTGCATCATCATCTGAAGAAACAGCAGTTCCAATTGTTGATCCGTCAGCACTGTCTTCTGATGTACCATTCACTTGATCTTTTATTTTCTCTGTTTTGGGGTTGTTGGAGTCTTCAATGTTTTCACTTGATTCAAACAACTTAATTTCTAAATCATCTGCTAAAAGTGTGCTTTTGCTTGGTTTCCAGGGTGTAAGTGAAATGATTGAGGTATGTTTCGTGGGTATTTCATCTTCTCTAATGTTATCCATACAAATGTCAGGAGTTTCTCCATCAGCAAATGGAGATCTACCTGCCCAATTTTGATCATTTAAAACTGGCTTCCTTAAGCGTTTCCAAAGTACAACAATGATTATAACTACCAACATAGAAATCAGAAGTACACCAACTAGTATGGCAGCTGTTGAATTACTATTGTTTTTTTGTGGGGTTCGTTTGTTACTGGTAGAATCTAAGATAAATCCTGGTGTATGCCTAGGTGAATTTTTGACAGTTGATGTTGGTTGTGTGGATGAATCATGAACAGTTGGTGGTACTCGTTTTCTAGAAGGGATCTGGACAGATGATGATTGTTGAGTGAAAGTATAGACAAATGGCGTTGGTGGTTGTGTGGTAGAAATATGGGTAGATGGTGGTAGTTGCCTGGCAGAGGTGAACACAGGTTGCTGGGAGGAGTTGCTGGCTGTTGGTATTGGTTGTTTGGTGTTATAGGCAAGTGGTTGTCCAATGGAAGTATGTGCTGCTGATTTTTCAGAAGTATAGACAGCTGGTGTTGGTTGTCCAGCAGTGGCTTTGGCAGATGATATTGATTGTCCAGAAGATGTGGCATTGAATTGTGTTGATTGACCCAAAGGATTCTTTGTTGTGTTTTGAGAATTAGCTAAGATATATGACGTTGATGATGTGAATGAGGTAGGCTGTGGCTGCTTCTCTGTTGTAATTGTCTCTGTCTTTGAAAAAAATGTATTGTTCAGGTGTCCACAAAACAACATTAAGATGAAATATTTGGGATCCATTTCAGAATGTTTTCTCCTTACCTATAGTGGGTTTATAATGAAAGAAAGAGAAAGACAGTTAGATGTCATTGGTGTCTTTTGACTTTTCATTATAATGCCTGGCATAAAGTAGGTAGACATTATTCCTAATTAGTAGTAGTTGATTAATGGTTATTATTCCTAATTTAGACTTGACACACTGTAGGCTGGTGTAAAAAATCTTGGATATACACTAACCCATCATACAGCATTTGGCCCTCATAAGCTGTGATCTCTCTTAATTCTTTTATCAATACAAGATCTGTACTTGGCCCTGCTGCCCCTCTAGCTTCGTTATATTTCAGTCCTTCACCTCAGTCATACTTCTCAAAACGCATAGGCTCTGTATGCTGGATCCATGTGTTCTCTACCTTTCTCCACCTTTGCTACTAGGAATATAATGATTCTCCTGCCTTGAAGAACACCAGTGACCATCTATTACTTAATCCAATTGTTTTTTATTTCTTCTCTCCCCTCCCCTCCTTGACCACATTAGACACTATATTCCTTCACTAATATTCAAGTAGCTCTTTGTAATCAGTCTTCCTTTCATGTTACTCTCACTAGCTCTTTTTCTCCTGCCTCTTAAGTATGGATAATGGATATTCAGTCCTCAAACTTACCTAGTTTTCTTTGTTCCTAATGCTATAAGATTTTAGTTCTCAGCTTTATGCCACAATTCCCAACCTCACCTCCAGCCTAAATCTTCTTTGTTCTAATTCTATTCTATATATATGACTTCTTGGTGGATGTTTCCATGTATATATTCCACTATTGGCAAATTCAACATATATAAAATGGAATTTGTGTATACCCTTACAACTGACTCTTCACCCACCTTCCCTGTGTTTGTTAATGGTACTACCAAATTTCTTAGGCACAGAATGTATTAGTAAGCTTTGCAGCATCCTCAGTGTCTCTGTAGCATGGTAGCCTTATGTTAAGATTGCATATTTTTAAAGGATTAAATTCAACCGAGAGTCCTAGTCTTAAAATCCTAGAGTGATCTCCAAATCTGATGGAGTCAATCCAATCCAGTTGGTAAAGTAGTCCTGCTTCTGCTTTCATTCATTTATTGGTAAATAACACATTTGTGTGGAGCCCTCTTCTAGGTTTAGGAGATTGAAAAAAAAAAAAGAAAAAAGAAAAAAAATAGTCAGTGCCTTCAAGTGTTTCAGATTCTAGTGGTAGAAGCAAACAATAATGGCCAGGTGTGCTGGCTCATGCCTCTAATTCCAGCACTTTGGGAAGCCAAGGTGGGAGGATTGCTTAAGGCTGGGAGTTCAAGACTAGTCTGGACAACATAGTGACACCCCATCTCTAAATAAAAAGAAAAAAAGTAAAAAATAATGACAATAGGCCAGTCACAGTGGCTCACGCCTGTAATCCCAGCACTTTGGGAGGCCGAGGCAGGCAGATCATTAGGTTGACAGTTCGAGACCAGCCTGACCAACACGGTAAAACACCATCTCTACTAAAAATACAAAAAGTAGCAGGGCATGGTGGCACACACCTGTAGTTCCAGCTGCTAGGGAGGCTGAGGCCGAAGAATCATTTGAACCCAGGAGGTGGAGGTTTCGGTGAGCCAAGATCATACCACTGCACTTCAGCCTGGACGACAGAGCAAGACTTCTCAAAAATAAAAATTAAAAAATAATTACAATTTTTTTTTTTTTTTTTTTTTTGAGACAGAGTCTCACTGTGTCACCCAGGCTGGAGTGTACTGGCGCAGTCTGGGCTCACTGAAACCTCCACCTCCTGGATTCAAGTGATTCTTCTGCCTCAGCCTCAAAGTAGCACAGGCACGCATCATCACACCTGGCTAATTTTTGTATTTTTAGCAGAGATGGGATTTCGCCATGTTGGCCAGGCTGGTAGAGAACTGACCTCAGGTGATCCGCCCTCCTTGGCCTCCCAAAGTGCTGGGATTAAAGGTGTGAGCCACCACGCCTGGCCCAATTACAGTCATTTGTTAAGCTTTCTCATAAAGGTATGCAGGAGATGTACAGAGAAGTTAACCTAGCCTAGGAAGGCTTCAGAGAAGCAAAACTTGAACTGAATTTTGAAAGGTCTATAAGAACTAATTAAACAGATTTCCAGCCAGGGAGAGCAACAATGTATGTGCAAGAAAATAAGGCACTTGTGTAAGTTTGGCAGGTAGGGCTTTTTCTGGGATGTGGTAGATGCTAAAACTTGGAGAGTTAAGTTCCAGTTCTACTTCTCCCATCTAACTATCTAACCATGAGAACTAGTTGCTTAACCTTTCCTGTTCTCAATTGCCTTTTCTCTAAGGTGAGGAGTTCTACTGAGACCATTTTCAACAAGTTTAATATACTTGTTTTGCACATCATCAAAGACAATGGCAACGACTTGGTTATTTCTTAACGTTAGGGAAAAGAAAATCTTAGGGTGTTAGATACTGGTATACATGATTGGAAACTGACTGACTCATAAACCTATATTTAGAGATTTGATGTTCTGTTGGAAGGTGCAATAAAAGTTTTGCAAATTACCTTTCAGCATATCTAAGTAGTTTTCATTGCTTACTTCTCTACCACTGGGTTCGCAGTGATGATAAATGATCCTGTTTTACAGAAGAAAATATATGCGATTTTTTTATACGAATACTCCAAACCTAAATTTTAAACAGTTCTCCTTTGAACTCTCCTGCACACTGCTGATGAGTTAAGCTTAAAAGCATGCATGATCAGGTTACTACTCCCTTGCTTGAGGGTTTTCTATTTCTGTTAAGATAAAACTTCCTTTTTTTTCTCGTTTCGAGAGAGAGTCTCACTCTGTCACCCAGGCTGGAGTGCAGTGGCATGATCTTGGCTCACTGCAGTCTCTACCTTCTGGGTTCAAGTGATTCTTGTGCCTCAGCCTCCCAAGTAGCTGGGACTGCAGTAGGCATGCACCACCACATCTCACTAATTTTTGTATTTTTAGTAGAGATGGGATTTCACCATGTTGTCCAGACTGGTCTTAAACTCCTGACCTCAAATGATCCATCTGCCTCAGCCTCCCGAAGTGCTGGGATTACAGGCGTGAGCCACTGTACCTGGCCTGTTAAGATAAAACTTCTAAATTGAGTCTTTTTTCCTTTTGGCTTGAGTTAACCAGGCCAGAGTCACATGTCATGACTAAAACTTCTTATCCAGCCAAATGCATCCCTTCCCCACCTTACAGACTTCTGAACACATGCTTTTTACCCCCTAAACAGACACTTTTATGCTATTTTTTACTCTCCTCAAGGTTGTTTTTTTTCTTCTTCCAAACCTAGCCTCTTCCTCTTTCTGGCTGCCTATCTGAATCTGTCCTCATCTTTCAGAACTCAATTTAAATTCCCCTTCTTAATCTAGTTCTCTGTGACTGAGTACAACCCTAAGAGATCAGTCATTTGCTGAATCCCCCTAGCTCTTATTTATTGTTTTTATGGTTCCTTACATAATTCATGTATGTACCTCACTCACGCATCTATTCTCTTAAGTAATTGTGTTTATTTTTTATTACTTTTCACATTTCTTATACCTACTTCCTTGAACAAGATTATAAAGAACCTTGAAGAAGGCAAAAAGAAAAGAAAGAAAAATACTTATCTAGAGCATACTGTGTGTTGTACTATCCCAGTATTGCATACTTTATTTCATTGAACCTTTAAATGACTTTATGAAGAAGGTAAAGAGGCCCTTTCTTTACAGATAAAGAGACAACATCAAATGAGTTAAGCAGTTTGCCTGATGTTAATACCACTCCAAGTGACAGATTGGGAGTTTATACCCAGGGCCATCTGATTCCAAAGCATACATTCCGATACCCTGTATTGCTTCATGTTTTCTATTTTGATTTCTCTGCAGTATAATGCCTTACATATTAGGAGCACAGTAAATATTTAACCTGTATTGGGTTTCTTAATTCCTTTCCATTTTACTCTTTATTAGTACTTCTACCAGAATATAAGCAGAGATATTGAAATCTGTGTTAATAAATTTTGCTTTTTATCCATTTTGCAAAAGATTTGATATCTATCTTTTGGCATAGATATAGGTATTTGAATCATGTTTAGATGATCATCATCCATGCAGTTCCTACCCATTATTCTTACAGATTACCGACAGAAAAAAAAAAGGCAGAGGGCTTCATTAGAAATGTTATTCTTCAGAGTTTCATTTTTAAAATGTGTTTTAATGCTAATGAAATCATCAGAAAATATAGGCCATGAATTCTTTAGCCAAAAATGTTTCCTGTTTTGTGACTTTGCTTAAAATAAGGAAACCATACGGTTCCTCTTTATAGTTAGCTGAAAAAGGCATTAGAGAAGGAAAGAGCCTAAACAGGAACACAATTATAAACCCAGGTTAGTTTGTAAGATGGATTTTGATAGATTCGTATCCTCTAATGTCAGTAGGAATGTGGTGGAACTTTCCTTGTATGAGATTTTTACTTGTCACTTAACAGTTATGGCATTATTAAAACAAAATTCCATTTTTTTACCTATCTTTTCTCCCACTCTTCAGTTAGCTTTTTATCCTCCTAGGATCTGCTACATCAGAATAATAGAAACTATGTTAGAATTCTGTGATGACAATTCAGCACAGTTCAGAGAAGGAGAAGAAAGATTTAAAAGAAGAATAAATAGGGACTATACTAGTTAAAAAAAAAAAATGAAAGAAAGAAAGAAAAAACTGGCTTTCTTCCCAGAGGTAGTGAGGCCAGTGTTATTACTAGTGTGGAAGGTTATTTAGCATACACATTAAAAAATATGTAAGTGATGTGTACCTGAACTACCAACATTTTTTCTGTAGGGAAAGAACAACATTGGACAGGGGAATAAAAAGGAGAAGGAAATTTAGAATAAGATAAAAGGCAATGCACAGAAACACAAAATAACACAAAAGAGAAAAAACCAGAACTATAGGAAGCTGCAAAGAGAAAAGAGGAAGGTCAGTTGACTAGAGAAGGTATAGAAAAGAAGAAAAGTTAATAAACAGCTGAAAAAAAAGTGGTAGTTACATAATTAGCAAGAAGGCAGGGTGGAAGATTGAAGTAGGGGAAATGAACAAGTTGAGGTAGATGAAAGAAGCAACCACAAAATGCTGCTCTCTCATGGCCGAACTGTGTGTGTTAGTGCAGGGAGACAGTAAAGAGGAGCTTGCTTTCTGAGATGGAGGACCAGAATGAACCATCCTTTCAGATTCATTCACCTTTCATTTCAGGCTCTCATGTCATGAGTATCCTTACCATCTTCTCCCTCTCTTTTTTTTAACCCAACACTATTCAGAAGCATACCTAGCAGTTACTTCGGGGAGCCCGTGTACCTGTGTATGTTTTGTATAGAGTTTTTCTGGAAATCCCTTAGTTTGCTGCTCAAATACCAAATTTGTCCACCCTCATATCCAGTATTTTATTCATTATTATGGGCTGGCTCTTTGAGGTTTAAATCTGTGATTTTGGTTCTTTTTCTTTGCTGAATATTTAGAATATTTTAAAAAGAAGAAAAACAAACTATTTTAACTAAACATTTAAAGACAGTTATAGTGAAGCAGGAGTCCCCATGTATGACACATATTCTATTTTTTTTCTTCTTCTTTTGGAGACAGGGTCTCACTCTGTCACCCAGGCTGCAGTGCAGTGGTGTAGTCTCAGCTCACTGCGTCTGTCTTGTGGGCTCAAACGAGCCTCCCATCCCAGCCTGCCTAGAGTAGCTAAAACTGCAGGTGTGCACCACAACGCCCAGCTAATTTTTGTAGATATGGGGTTTCATCATGTTACCCAGGCTGGTCTTAAACTCCTGGACTCAAGTGATCTGCCTGCCTTGGCCTCCCAAGCTGCTGGGATTATAGACATGAGCCACTGAGGCAGGCCATAGACATGTTCTAATAAATATAATGCATAAGTACATAAAGGGTCCAGCATTTAAAATTGATGCTGTTAAGTTGGATATGATAGGAAGTATGCCATTGTCTTCTAAAGAGAATCAAGATTTGAAGAGCATATCCTAGACAAAAGACAAGTATAAATAGCGTTATCAATTACTTTCATATAATAAAAGTTGTGGTGCAGATATAACAGGTTAAAATTTAGCACTAGTATTATCTCTAGTGAAGTTTTGAAACCATAAAAGAAAAAAACAGCCATTCTGCATCTTGAGGAAGAGTAGAAAGGGAAATTGACCTTAAACTACAATAGGAAGTATTTGATGACCGTCATGTATCAATGAGACGACCATTTACTGAGCACCCAACAAAGGCTAATAAGCAGTATCCTATTTTAATGACAAGGTGGTGGTTTTTTTATCCTACGGATAAGCAAACTGAGACACACAGATGTTGGGTAACTTGCCAGTATCACAGCTCTAAATAGTGGCACTAATACAAAAATCATTCTAATCTTGTGCCAGAGCCCTTTCTGTCACATGTCACTATATGTGCCATACTGCCTTTCATAGAAAAGTTATGAAATAGAAATGCTTTATGAAGGAAGGAGATGTGAGTTGGCAGGAATAATATGTAAATAACACTTGTAGATAGTCTTAGAGACAGGGTAGGAAAGAAATACCAGAAAACTCATTTTAGTCCTGATTCTACTAAAACAATTAAAAGAATTTTGAATGGTTTCTGTAAACTATCATAATAGTAGTTTACTGAAAAATTTTTGGTGTTTTTTTTTTTTAAAGCTTAGACAATTGAAACCATCAGACTTAGGTTTCTCAATTCAAAGTTATTCAGAATTAAAGTTTCCTTCTAAGTGGAATTATGAAGGTATTAACTGGAAAACAGGCACTACTAGTAAACTTTACATATGGGTCTCACCTTTTAAAAACATGTATGGGGCTGGGGACAGTGCCTCCTGCCTGTAATCCCAGCACTTTGGGAGGCCTAGGCAAGCCAAGCACTTGATGTCAGAAGTTCAAGACCAGTCTGACCAACATGGTGAAACCCCATTTCTACTAAAAATACAAAAAAATTAGCCAGACATGGTGGGTGCCTGTAAACCCAGCTACTTGGGAGGCTGAGGCAGGGAGAATCACTTGAGCCCAGGAGGCAGAAGTTGCAGTGAGCCAAGATCGTGCCACTGCACTCTAGCCTAGGCAACAAGTGAGACTCTGTCTAAAAAAAAAAAAGTAGGCCGGGCGCGGTGGCTCAAACCTGTAATCCCAGCACTTTGGGAGACCGAGGAGGGTGGATCACGAGGTCGAGAGATCGAGACCATCCTGGTCAACATGGTGAAACCCCGTCTCTACTAAAAATACAAAAAATTAGCTGGGCATGGTGGCACGTGCCTGTAATCCCAGCTACTCAGGAGGCTGAGGCAGGAGAATTGCCTGAACCCAGGAGGCGGAGGTTGCGGTGAGCCGAGATCGCGCCATTGCACTCCAGCCTGGGTAACAAGAGCGAAACTCCGTCTCAAAGAAAAAAAAAAAAAGAAAAAAAAAGTATGGGATTCTATGATGACAAAGATATACCATTGTCAAAGATTCATGGGAAAATTTTTATTTTATGAAATATGAGAGTGAAAAATTAATATTATTGACTTAATATGCATAATGACATAAACTAAATATTAGAAGCAGAAAAATATGTAGACAAGCTTTATCTGAAAAAGAGATATCTTTATTTTTTGACTTCCACAATAATTACTGAAAAGAAATCCTTCTAAGAGGAAGTCATAAGTATTTATTAAGTGTTTAAATAGGATGTCACCTCCTATGAATGTATTATTCCCTGAAATTACAAGTCTGTGTAAAATACTCTTTGCCCAGTTTACCCACATAGTAAACATCTTTTATGCATATTAAGAATTGTCTATTGTTTATTCTGTGGGTTTCTTCTATCATATACTATTTTCTAAAGGCTCATAATATGTGACATAAACACATAGATGATGTTAATATATGTGTGCATGTTTGATTATGGACTAACACTTCTGACTTAGTAAGCTTTTAAAATGAGCCGTAATGTTTTCATGTCATTATTAAATATAAAAATCTATGTGTAAAAAATTAAGCACATATAGTAATAAATAATAAAATACCACATCTGATTTCTTTTTCTTTCTTTCTAAATTAAGTGAAGGTGACCATTCTTACTATGCAAACTAAAGGGGATACAAAAATGTTAATTAATGTATTATATTATAGTACAGGAACATTTTATAAAAAGTAAATTAGAACTTTCAACAATTAATATTTTGGAGGTTATAAATTCAGTCATAGCCGATGGAATCTAGTTCTGTTTCTAACCCTTACCTTTATCTGTCATGGCTATAGTTTCTTTTTAATTATAAAACTAAGATGAACAAATATGACTGTGGCTGGGTACCGTGGCTCATGCCTGTAATCCCAGCACTTTGGGAGGCTGAGGTGGGAGGATCACCTGAGGTCAGGAGTAGGACACCAGTCTGGCCAACATGGTGAAACCTCATCTCTACTAAAAGTACAAAAAAAATTATCCAGGTGTGGTGTGGGCACTTGTAATCTCAGCTACTCAAGAGGCTGAAGCAGGAAACTTGCTTGAGCCTCGGAAGCAGAGGTTGTAGTGAGCCAAGATGGTGCCATTCGGACTCCAGCCTGGGCGACAGAGCAAGACTCCGTCTCAAAAAACCAAACAAAAATACTCAAATATGATTAAATAAACTTAAAAGATCTTATACAAACCTAGGTGGAAATCTTTTTCTAAGGCAAGCTCAACACTGAGTCTTTTTTAAATTCTATACAACAAAGCCATGAAAACCTGTTACATACATCTTTAGACTGTCAGAGTTTAAGTTTAAAACACTAATGACAGTTTTTAAATAAATTCTATATAAAGCAAGATCAAATTGTGTGAAAATTTTCTTACCTCAGCTGTTAACTTCTTTTGCAGAATGCTAAATTCTTGTTCTAACTGGACATTTTGGTGATTTGGCCAAGAAAGCAAAATAAGTGGTTCAGTTCAGATTTAAAATGTTCCTCTAGCAAACCGAAATAGTTTCTATAGAAAAAGAGGAAGTTTATCAATAGCTGGTTCCGGAAGTGCAATAAACCACAAAGTGACTAAGAAATACATTACTTTAACAGAACTTATTTTGAAATATATTTTGGAGCCCTATGATTTGAGTGCTTTTAATTAATTTATGTAAATAAGTTTTTAAGACACTCTAGTAATATGATCATGTAATTTAAATATTTAGGATGGAGTCCCGAAGACAAAATTACATGTTCTAAGAAGAAAAGCTGCCAGTTGGGGTATCACTTATAGTGAGATTTCTTCTCATAAGAAGTGAGTGATGTGTTCTGTTTACTTGTATGACCTTAGGCAATTTTCTGCACTTCTCGGTCACCATTTCCTCCTCTGAAGGAATATTTTATTGGGTCACTGTGAGGATTAAATAAGATAGCATAATATAACATGTATAAATGCTTCACACCCTTGGTTACTGTAGGTAAGCAATAAATATAATGTTATTTCCTCATAATATAAAAAGCCCAGGGTAAAAGTATAATTAAATTATTTTGCAAATGACAGGATCTCATTCTTTTTATGGCTGAATAATACTCCATTGTGTATATGTACCATATTTTCTTTATCCATTCATCTGTTTATGGACACTTAGGTTGCTTCCAGATCTTGGCTGTTGTGAATAGTGTTACAACAAACGTGGGAGTACAGATGTCTCTTTGTACTGTTTTTCTTTTGCGTATATACCCAGCAGTGGGATTGCTGGATCATATGGTAGCTCTATTTTTAGTTTTTTGAGGAACCACCAAACTGTTCTCCATAGTGGTACTAATTTACATTCCCATCAACAGTATATGAGAGTTCCCTTTTCTCCACCTCTTTGCCAGTGTTTCTTATTGCCTGTCTTTTGGGTATAAGCCATTTTAACTGGGGTGAGATGATGTCTCATTGTAGTTTTGATTTGCAGTTTTCTCATCAGTGTGTTGAGTACCTTTTCGTATGCCTGTTTGCCATCTGTATGTCTGTAATTAAACTATTTTGACCGTATACTTTAATGATTTTCGAGTTCAAGTTCACAACTATTTATTTGGTTACCCACAAAGTAGTTACTTCTCAGTGGAAAATCAAATAAATTGGGGATCATTTTTTAAGAAGTTAGCTGAAGTTAACTTGTTAACTTTTTACTAAAGGGTAGGTGAGGGGTTCGGGAGACGGTGGTACCAATTAAGGAGTACAAAAAACAATAGAAAGAATGAATAAGACCTACTATTTGATAGCACGACAGGGTGACTATCGTTAATAATAATGTAATTATACATTTTAAAATAACTAAAAATGTAATTGGATCCTTTGTAACACAAAGGATAAGTGCTTGAGGGGATGGATACCCCATTCTCCACGATGTGATTATTTCACGTAACATGACTGTATCAAAACATCTCATTACCCTTTAAATATATATACCTATTGTGTACCCACAAAAATTTAAAATAAAAAAAATTCAGTTAACTAAACAAAGTGTATTGAAAAGAGTAAGTCCATCTGAAAAAAAATTTCTTTAGGTGAGTCACTTTTCCGCTCCTGAAAAATGGAGATCATACTTCCTAATTTATAAGCTTATTGTGGAACTAAATAAATATAAAGTATCTTGCATGGTGCATATTTTGACAGATATGGAATGTGTTAACCCATGTCCTGCTTTTTCCTGGTCACTGCAGAAAACATAGGTTATTATGACGTGGTTCTTAACTTGCAAGATACTTATAACTTAGCATAAAAAGAATAGCTTTCTTTTTAAGAGCTCCTACTGTAAAGCATAATATAATCAAATGCTATAAAGCTTTTGATTGACTGGGTTTTAGAGGTGGTGGTGGTGGTGCTGTTTTTAGAGACAGGGTATTGCTATGTTGCCCAGGCTGATCTCACACTCGTAACCTCAGGCAATCCTGCTACCTCAGCGCCTCTAGTAGCTGGGACTGCAGGCACATGCCACCTAACTGGCTGGCTTGCTGATTGATTGATTGTAAAGTTGAGGATCTTACTTTGTTGTGCAGGCTGGTCTGGAATTCCTGGCCTCAAGCTCCTGACCTCAGGTGATCCTCCCACCTTGACCTCCAAAATGTTAGGATTATAGGCGTAAGCCACTGTGCCTGACCTGATTCACTATTTTTAAATCCCTGAATTAAGCTGGTGAACTGTAATACCCAGGGGTAGGAAATATGTTTTTGTTTAACACTAAATGACTTCTAAATTTTGAACCCAAAAGATATCTTATCTACCATCTTTAAATACCTGTCATTTGGAAAGGAACCACTTCTGTTTGTTCAGTAACTGTCATTAGATAGTATCATTCTGAGAGTATATGTTTAGTAGCCAAGATAGCGAATGGTAAATTTTAAATATTCTTTTAAATATTACTGTGGGAAGCTCTCTGTTTGGTGAGAAAATGTTTGCCAGTATGTTGAATATGAAAGTCATTTTCTAGTTAATTTCCTCCTTTTACAAAGATACCAACTTTTTGTCATTTTCTCTAACAAGTATTTATTTACGACACTTGATCCAAGGAATGCTTTGTGTTATTACTGGATGTCCTGGTGCACAATCTCAAATTTTTAATTTTTGCACAGAATGAGAAGTCTTCCCAGCTTCATTTCTAATCTGGGCCATTTTTCCCCTCAAAAGATAACATGATTTCAGTCACCGTGACTGGCATGAATAGTCTCATGCTTTCCTTTTTACTTTGTTGTCACTTAATTTATCTGGGATAATATTGTTACGATTTTTTGTTTAGGGAATAGATTTGTTTTTTATAAATTGCTAATAAATTAATAATAAAAATGATGCTTTTTTCCCCCTCTCATTTTCATATGTAACCTAGATGTTTGAAGCCATGAAACTTGTAAAAAGTGAATTTGATAACCAAGAGCAGTTATAACCTAGAGAGTTATGTAAAAATTACCAATGCCTAGAGCTCACCCCATTCCAGTTGCATCAGAAGGAAGACATAGGAATTAGGCATTGGTGTTTTTTAAAAACTCTTCAGGTGATTCTGATATGCAGCCAGGGTAAGAATCACTAGCTTAGAAGGAAGAGTAAGACTGTACTCATATTTGGGAAAAAATATATTAAAAAAATTTTCTTAAATGACTAGTATATTGCCCAAATTAAATGCTCAGTAAGGGATGAGATTTTTGAAATGTGGCCTGTGTTAATTTCAGTAGATATTTGGAAAGTCTTTCAAACCAATTTTTGTAATATATTTAATTGAAGATGGGGGTCTCGACTTAAATGTAAGTCATTATTTTACTTGAAGCCAATTTCTTTTTTTTTTGAGACAGAGTTTCGCTCTTGTTACCCAGGCTGGAGTGCAATGGCGCGATCTCGGCTCACCGCAACCTCCGCCTCCTGGGCTCAGGCAATTCTCCTGCCTCAGCCTCCTGAGTAGCTGGGATTACAGGCACGTGCCACCATGCCCAGCTAATTTTTTTGTATTTTTAGTAGAGACGGGGTTTCACCATGTTGACCAGGATGGTCTCGATCTCTCGACCTTGTGATCCACCCTCCTCGGCCTCCCAAAGTGCTGGGATTAGAGGCTTGAGCCACCGCGCCCGGCCGAAGCCAATTTCTTTTTTTCTTTTTTCTTTTTTTTTTTTTTTTTTTTTTGAGACGGAGTTTTGCCCTTGTTACCCAGGCTGGAGTGCAATGGCGCGATCTCGGCTCACCGCAACCTCCGCCTCCTGGGCTCAGGCAATTCTCCTGCCTCAGCCTCCTGAGTAGCTGGGATTACAGGCACGTGCCACCATGCCCAGTTAATTTTTTGCACTTTTAGTAGAGACGGGGTTTCACCATGTTGACCAGGATGGTCTCGATCTCTCGACCTCGTGATCCACCCGCCTCGGCCTCCCAAAGTGCTGGGATTACAGGCTTGAGCCACCGCGCCCGGCCGAAGCCAATTTCTTTAAAGGTTAAATAATTACCTGAAGTATCCAGTTTTCCAAATTTGAACAAACACACAGACACTTACACACACACACACACACACACACACCCCACTACCTGTTTCCTTTGGTCATGTAACACTGGATAGTAAAAGTTAAAATCAATCACTAGGCTACTTGGCATCCTTGAAGTCCAAAAATTAATCAGCCTTTGGGTACTTGTTAATGTTCCAGTGAGTAGTGTTTATAGGAAAGATGAATATTATTAAACAGTAAAATATGCTTTGCATTTACACTTAGCCTATTGATGTGGCTCTAAATCTTATTTCTTTATTTCTTTTAGTTTTGCCCTATTATTGATCTTTACAATGTGTTCTTTAAAGTAATAAAGTGAATGCAAATATACATAGTCACAGGTTTATTCTAATGAGTTTTAATTTATTATACAAAATTAAAGGTTTAATTTAATATTAATAGTAGAAAAACACTTTCTTATGTGTGCCATAGAGAAAGATAAAAAGCATCTAGGCTAAATTAAGCTGTGTTGATTGATAAGCTGGTATGGATTCTGCCACATCCAGCAAAGAAGGTACCATTAAATTATACAGTTTAGTGCTATGCATTAGGAATTTGACTTCCATTTGATGTTAAAGCATGTACTTGGCTTTAAGGACACACTAAAACTCTTCAAAGTTTAATTACATTCAGACAAAGATCATCTTACCATGATCGCTGTATAGGGAATATTTATTTAATTATCCCTTGCTCTCAGTTTTCTCAATTTATCCTTAAAACTTTCCTTAAATGCTTAGTTATTTTATTATTTGCTTTTTAAAAATATTCAGTGTCAAAACAAAAGGTTTAAGTAATTAAGAGCAGGCATTCTTCTCTCTCTCTCACCTGCTTGATTCTAAATCGAAAGGTCTACCATGTCAAATTTTAGATCATCAGAACAACACTTTGGCATTAAATACCAACTAACTACATTTTTATTCCATAATCCTGCTCATTGCCACTTTGCAGTTTTCTTCAGTAACTCATCTATTTGCCAGTAAGTTTTTCAGTTCCTTCATCTTTTCTTTCCCTTGTATCTGTAA